CCTTGATATGGGTGTACCATGGATCATGGTTACAAAAGTAAACTTAGTCTTTAAAATTGGCACAAGAGTATCTCAGCTAAGGAATGATTCTCCACCAGTGGCTCATTGGTCATATGTGACCCTGATGTTGGTGGTGGTGGTAGTCTCTTAGGAAATGCTCAGCATCTGTCAATGTGAACAACTGTTACACGCTTAAGGGGAAATTAAGGTCTCCTAATTTATAGGATCTCTTATGATAGTTTTACTCTTAAAAGGTTTAGTCCTATTGACTATGGCCCATCTTCTCTTGTTATGTGAGATAGGGACCTTGGATTGTAAGCTGCTTGAGGGCAGGGACTAATGTAAATGTACAGTATACAGCACAGTGTAACTTGTTGACCCTATATAAATACCTGAAACAAATAAATAAATATTGTAATATAGACAATGGGCTTCCATGTTATAACAGAGCCAGGGCACCAGAGAGAGACTGGAAATAAGTAGCCAGAAAGAGCAGATGGTACAATAACGCAGCTTCCTAGTCAACCGGGCTGCTTGTTTAAGAGATTTTCCTAAAAATAACATATAATTTTTTATTGGATCTATAAAGTGTAACATAAATATTTCTAATAGTGGAACCTATCTCTGTCTGTCTCTTTATGTCTATATTAGATAATCAACACATTTATACTTCTATCAACCCATAGCATTCTTTGTCGGCATTATGCAACAAGTAGTCATGCCAGAGGTGCATTATTTTCCTTGCAGATATTTGACAGAAACAAACACGTAAACATTCACTCAAGTAACATACCCTATGTATAGATTGATACACGTTCTAGAATTCATTTATTAGGAATTCATATATGAATTCTGTGTACTGTGTGTACTGTGTGTCTATAGACCACACTCAGCTGCCAATGCATTGTTGCAATAATGCTGCTTATATTCCCTGGAAAGTACTATACCTAAGTGAGCACAGCCTTTCCTAAAGTGGCTTCTGCTGGGGCTCACATGTTGAGGTTTTGCTGGCTAGCTCCTGGCAGTCCTTTGTACAGCATGATCCCTCTCCATTCTGCATTATGACAGGCTTACTCAGCATGACTCTCTGAGACATTAATTTTGGACAATATTTATTCATGTTTTGGGTGGCCAAGGCAGAACAGCATCACAATGGATCCCTGCGCATCTTCTGACCTCTGGTGGCTTTGCATGTGTTACCTGCTAAAGAGGAGCAGTAAGCCTGCTATTGCACAGCAAGCCAAAAAATAATGTCAGTTTGTGACAAAGTGATTATGAGCATGGAGTAAGGTCTGGGCTGCTCTTACATGTTGGGGTGAGCTAACCGCACTGTTTGGCACTGATGGGGACTAGTAAAGGTTGAGAGCTTGTTTAGGAAATGACTGGGGGAGACATCTGAAAATGTGCCTAATGCCCATATGAAAAAAAACCCAGTGGTAGGCTGTCATTTGTACAGAATATAGGGAATTAGCGAATGTTCTTTGTAAATGAGACTTAGAACGGGGCTTAGGAATGTGAATGGTTGAGCAACAGGTTGTTCAATGTGTATCTGGGAAACATTTTGTTCAGCATGACCGAGTATGCAGATATGGTGGCTAATGAGCCTAAAGCATAAATGAGTAATGCGGTGTAGCCAATGAGGTGAACAAGACAAGTATTAGAGCACAGGGAAAGACATCTAACTGTTCGTTTCTTTCTCTTTTCTATGCTGTAAAGCTAATTTAATATGCTATTTCTGGCCTTGTGCATTTATATGCAGACTTTTCTCAACCAAGTATTTTTTATTTTGTTTCTGTCTTTTTTTTTTAAAATTCCTATTACAGTACAAAAACTCCTCTCATAATTGTGTGATGTGAATCAGCTAGACAGACACAGAATATTGATATGGGAAGTTAACAAACAGGAAGAGTGCATGAAAGGTATTTGTGAATGTACTGATAAAATCTTTCCAAAAGAGATTACCAGTCAATACCAGTCCTTTAGCACTGCATACACATGGTTAGGAATGAGGACCATACAAAAGCACATTGCCTTTGTTGTACCTAAGAAAACTAGAGAAGTTGCACTGTAATGTAGGTTTATACCATGTCTAGAATAAAGCAACAAGGTATGCACTCTACCTTTTGGAATACACTATATAGTATAAAAGTGTATATTTCTGTAAGGCTCTGTAGAAATTTTAATATGTAGGAAGAAAAAAGGTAGTAACAAGGTAGTGTGACACTTAAAGTGATACTAAACTCGGTAGTTAAATCTTAAAAATGCATTTAAGTACCCTAACTATTAATAGAAATGTATCTTATTTGTTTATCACTCGACGGTAGATCCTCAAATCATCTCAGAATTCATGCTGACACTGTCCTTCCTCCTGGAGGGTGGCTACTTTTGTTCCCCATGGTCCCTGTGTGTGTTGTAAAGTAGCCACAGCTCCAAGCTCACTCCTGTGATGGACTACAGTCTCATGTTTAGTTTACTAATTTGTTTGGAAGTCCAAGTCTATGACGGGAATAAACATCAAGCTTTTGGTTATATGTACCATATATGATGGTTATTGTAAAAATGAAAAAAATAGAAATACTTAATTCCAAGATGTTCTTCTGTATTAATTGTATATTGCTTTATCATAAAACATATATCTTTAAATTACTCATGATAATTTTACATTTTCTATCTTGTGCCCCATACAGGTGCTGGTGACTTGAGTGGTGAACCTGTAGGCTACATAACTGGAGTACTGGCTGTACTAGTTCATGCTGCCTACCTAGTAATTATTCAGAAGACTAGTACAGATAGTGATCATGGACCTCTAACTGCCCAGTATATCATTGCAATCACAGCAACACCTCTGCTTATTATCTTCTCTTTTGCCAGTATGGACATGATTGATGCATGGTCATTCCCAGGTTGGAAAGACCCAGCCATGGTCTGCACTTTCATTGCATGTACTCTGATTGGTTGTGCTATGAATTTTACTACACTGCATTGTACTTATATAAATTCAGCAGTCACTACAAGTTTTGTCGGTGTGGTGAAGAGCATTGCCACCATTACAGTTGGCATGCTTGCATTTAGCGATGTGGAACCCACATCACTCTTCATTGCAGGTGTGGTTGTCAACACTTTTGGGTCCATCATCTACTGTGCGGTTAAGTTCTATGAAACAAGGCGGCAGATCAATTATGAAGATTTGGAAAAGGAGGCTATGGAAGATGAAAAGAAAGAACAGGATGAACAGCATCCCCCATTTGCAATGGAAGAAATTTTACAGGAAAACAGCACAGAAGGAGAGCCACAAGAAAAGCCACCTAATGAGACAGCTAATAATTACACAGAAGAAAAGAAGAACACATTAGCTTCCGTCTTGCAATCACATGACCCAACTGGGCCCTCTGATGCCGACAGCAGAAGTTCATTACTAGATGCATATCTCGGAGTATGGAGGATGGTCAGGGGTACAAGATTTTTAAAAAAAGATTACCTTATAGAAAATGAGGAACTTCCGAGTCCTTGATAATATATTTGAGATAACTTATATGGAAGGAAATTATCTTTTGTATGTGCTAAGGAGGGATACATATAAATGTATATTATATGGCAAAAATTTGTCACAATTTGTCATGTTAAGTTAAATTTCATTTGCATCATATCCATGATGCAAATGATTTCTATAATGCATATATATAAAATGACATAGTCTTGATCTTTACTATCTATTGTAGAGAATGTGGTCTCATATTAATTTTCAACAGACACAACTGATATCAACATTCCATTATTACATTTTATAGTCTTCCTGCTAAAACAACATAAGAAACAAAGTATGCATTTTCTATGTCATATGAAACAGGAAATTGGGGCAGGAAAGGTGGTTATTTAAATTCATAACTAAATTCTACATGTGTTGCTCCCAGGAGCCAAGATTGTGGAGCTCAATGTTGTTGTATGTACACACAACACAGGCAGGATTGCCAACTCATACCTTTAATCATTAACACAAATGAATTACACAGGTTCTGTAGCACAGTATGGGTTCCTATGTGTTTAGTTGTTTGTTTTGAAGCTGCCACTTGGTAAAATGTTCGTAGCTAGGAAGCATTTGTGGTTGGCAGCTAGCCATTCTTTTAAAACTACTTAATGCCAATCCCAGTAATAGGATGAATGTATAATACAAAATTGGGCATTGCATAAAAAAATGGAAATCACAAACAGGTCAGGATTAACCTCATATTCCCAAATTGGTTGTTCTACCTCACACAATCAAAGCTGATTCTCCCGGAAGCTAATTTATAAAAGCTGTCATATGAACTAAGAGCCTTTTTTACTCACAGCCAGCATGGCTTAGGATTCTCAGTTTAACCTGCATAGCAGGATTATTTTTACTACGAGGCAATGAACAAACTTTGCACCATATTCCTTGAGGGGCCACATGAGGCAATATTGCCACTTTGTCTTGGCCACTAATTGCCTTATGATCTTTTGGGCTTTGACCAAAGATGAGTAGGAAAGTGGAACCTAGACAGGTAGTACAAAGGAGAAGAAAGTTTTGCATACCAGGGAAATTGAAAAAACATAGTTGTCTGTGAGAAAGAAATTCACTTTTGTTTTCTAGTTTTCTAGAACTAAAATATAGCCAAACAACAAGTTTATTACCATCAAACGTGTATTAGTATATTTACTATTACAGGCATTTACAAGCATCAGCAGTGTATAAACTGTACATTCACATCAATCTCTGTCCTCAAGGAGCTTACAATCTAAGGTCCCTATCTCACATGTATACTTGTGCTGATTTCGACAGGAGCAATTTAACCTACCAGCATGTCTTTGGATTGTGGGGAGAAACCCATACAAGCACAGGGATTACATGCAAACTCCATGCAGATAGTGTTCTGGCTGGGATAAGAATTGTGGATCCCAGTGCTGTAAGGCTACAGTGCTAACTACTAAGCCACTGTGCTTATAATGCACAAGGGCTTACTAAGCATAATACAGTAAACTGCCCAGTATCCAGCATTCAAGCAACCGGCACACTCAAGGAACCAGCAAAAAAAAAAATTGAAGACAATTTTTTTTTCTGCCGGTGACTTTAAAAAGTTGTCGGTTGCTTGGCGCACACTAAAGATTTAATGAGCAACTAAATTTAATGTTTACATGTTTCTGCCGGCCGGTGGCTAGATTATGTGGTTGGCAGCAGAATATTACACATTGCAATAGCCAGTAGCAGGCTGGCTATTGTGCCTGCCCACTGAGCAGAGGAGTGGACCTGAGACAGAACATTCTCAGGTCCACTCCTCTGCTCAGTAGGTGGGGTTTCAATAGCCAGTCTGCTATTGGTTATTGCAATTTGAAATAGCCAATAGCAGGCTGCCTAATGAAATCCTGCACACCAAGAAGAGGATTGGAGAGATAACTTTCTCTCTCCAGGCTGCTGCTCTGCTTGGTGGGCGGGGTTTTCTATAGCCAGCCTGCTATTGGCTATTTAAAATTGCAATAGCCAATAGCAGGCTGGCCATTGTTCCCACCCACTGAGCAGAGGAGCGGACCTGATAGTGAACTTTCATTCTCAGGGCTACTCTTCTGCGCAGTGGGCAGGATTCTGTCGCTGCAGAAGTATGCCGGTGGGGAAATGGGGTGCTTCTTGGATGGTTGCTTGAGAGTTACTATTAACTCTTAAGCAACCAGAAACAGTTATCTGACACCTACCCTGTGGGTGCCAGATAACTGGGAGTTTACTGTCATTCCTATTTATAAGAGTTATAAGATTTAACATAACACTCAAGTGTTAGTATACACATTCTAAGCTACATTAGAAAAATGAAGACCTCGGGCCTTAGTTGTCATGGACAGTGTTAAGACAAACACCTGGGATCTTGTTAGTTGCTATGGCCAATACTTGGTACATGATTGGTTGCCATAGAGAACACAAAATGAAGTTGTTTTTACAACCTTGGTTTAAAATGTATGTAAATCCTAAAACAAATATATTTTTTGTTCTTGTTTGGAGCGATAAGTGCGAAAAAAACAACAACAAAACCCTGTTAATCCTATCGGAAATCCAATGAGCTTGTAACTTTCTATGCACTCTTCAGTGGTATTAGTCCTGCCCAGTTGTGTGAAACACAAAATACCTTGTAAATGGTATTGATTACATATTGGGTGCTATTATGTTGGGACAAATTTGAAGTATCCATTCTGGGCAGTGGGATGTATTTAAATTAGGTTTACTACACTACCAAAGAGTGGGATCTGTTTACAGAGGTCCAAAGATATGTCTTATTTGCTACTGCACTTACTAATTCCCCATGACACCAAGTAGATTTTGAATCTGTTCCCACACAAGTATATAGGATTAAGATGGGTAATAGACTTTCTATCATGACCCAATGTAGCAGGTACAAAATACCTGGCTCCTTATCATCTCTCTGCCTTGCTGACTACACTAGTAAAATTGTATTGGATCAAAGAAAATGATCATCATGGTAAAATTAACTACACATGTATGTTCTGTGAAAGGGACTTTGCTACAAAGTAATATACCTTTGTGATTAAGCTCTGATACAAGCAGTCATTCCCTCACTCTACTAAATATTAGTTGTAGGGCATGGCAAAAAATGCTATCAATGTATTCATTGACATGGAATAAGTATGTGGCTGATTTGTCAAGGAAAAACTGTTTTAACCAGAACCTAATAACACAGGTACTTTGCGTTGTGACTCTTTAACAGTATGTAGCTGGGCAAATAAATTGTTATTGGACACTTTGAAACAATATGAATGTGCTCCTTTACACAGCAATCGTGTAAACCACTTTGGTTGATCATATTATTTGAAAAAATATTTCAAATATAGTGTCTATGTTGCCCATAGCAACCAGATTCTAGCTATCTGTTTCCAAATATAGGCTAGAATGTAAAAACACAATCCAAGCAGATGCTATAGGCAAGAATACATTTTTCATACTGGTTTTTCTCCATATGAGACCTATTGCACTGTGACCATTGAATACTGCACTGGTAATTGGCTTCATTTGACATATAAATGGTGGACCAAATAAGTCGCCAGAAGGCCAGCTGAAGATGGGCAGACATCTAAATAATTACAACATTACAGTAGGACATCTATCCATCCTTGCTTATATTGAGTACTGATCAGTCTATAAATCAATACACTGCAAGTGGTTAGCTTTTGTTCAGTTTTTACATTTAGAAGGAAACAGTGAGGCCCTTTTCACACATAGCGGTTTGAATTCAACACGCATATTTAAATATACGCACAGTTTCCGCACTTTTGCAGCTACTACTATAGCTGGAGCAGTAGCCCAGCATATCGCGATTTGCGTTTTCCTGCCGCGCAAGTATGAACAAGATACATTAGAATGTATTAGTCTTTATGCTTTACGCGTTTCCTTTCAGAACCGCTAATGTGTAAATGGAGCCTGAAACTACCGTCACATGGAGATTTGAGAATCTATGTGCGTGGCAACAAACACTAGTTATTCTCCCAAGTGCCCACTATCACTAACCTGTTTACTTCTACATGGCTCCATAGCTGTCCAATCATCACAAGCAGTGCTTGAATAAGTTGCAACACCATTGTTGGACTGTGCATGGTCAAACAAAAGCTCCCAAGACACATTTACATTTTGGAAAGTTAAATGCATGATGAGACTTGTGCATTTTTGCTCACACCACTGCATTTTATTAAATCTCTAATGCCATTAACTATAATTCAACAGATCTTCCATGCATTTTGTGCACAGTTTCACTTCTAGTTAACTGCAACAAAGATACATTAGAGTTCAATGATTCTTGTCCTGGCTTCATACTTGTGTACCCTTCAAATAGTATATCAATAGTTAACATGGGGCACATTGTCAATCCTTTAGTCCCACTCACAAAACGTTGCGGCA